TCACTTCAGTGCCCAGGCCCCGCCCCACGTACCAACCTGCTGAGGAGGGGTAGTACCAAGGGCACCCCTCATGCTGTATAAATATTAACCCCCAGACAGGTTGTGCCAGGGTGCCTGGACAACCAAACACAGTCAGGGACAAGGGAGAGATGACAAAGACCCAGGCCAGAGGAAGAAAAGGAAGGACGCAGGACACAAAGTGACGTTTCCTTATCAGACTGTAAGCTCTGTCCCTTCCCTCCTCCCCGTAGACACTGCTGCACTCTGGCCTCCCGGGCCCTTGAGCCTCCACCCTCAGGGAGCTGCCTCCATACCACGGGGTCTGGGGCTCCCCTTCTCACAGCTCTGTGCATTCTCCTCCCTGTCACAGCGTCCACACCTGAATTCATAGTGTGTGTGTGTGTGTGTGTGTACACGCGTGCTGGTATTGGGGCTTGAACCCAGGGCCTCACACTCTTGCTTAACTGTTTTGCTCAAGGCTACCACTCTACAGCTCAAGTCATGCCTCTGCCTCCAGTGTTTTGCTGGAGATGAGAGTCGAATTTGTCTGCCAAGATCCTCAGATCTCAGCCCCCTGCGTAGTTAGGATTACAGGACTGAGCCATTAGTGTTCAGTCCCAAACTTCCTAAAGTGACCCAACTCTTTATGCAAACTTTCACTTCCCGCCAAATGGAGCTGTGGCTCACTTTCCCCGGAGCACAGCTCACGCATTCCTGCCTGTAAGCCTGATTTCTCATGCCCTTTTCCCTGTGTCTCCCCTTTTGTGCAGCCACTGGGCTTGGGCAGAGGAGCAGAGCGCATTTCTTTGGAGGCCATGTGGACAACAAGAACCTAGACAGAATGGGACTCACCTACCCATGGTCAGCCATGACATGTGGGAATAATCTTCCAGTCCTACATATGGGATCTGGGTGAGACGCCTCTGGCTGCTGCCGTGTCTCTGGACCTCAGCACATTTCAGTTCTTTATGTCTAGTACTTATTTCCTCTTTCACTCTTTTGGGATGTACCAAAGGCTGATTTCCAGAAGCCCGATGAAGGAACTAAGTGCTTATGGGCATATCTCTCCACTTAAATCTCAATTGCCCTGAGAGCTCAGTCTCCTTTAGTTAACAGAAGGATCAGCGCAGTGGGTATGTATTTGTATTTACATATTGTATAGAATATATAGAGTAACTCCCAAAGACCTCTCCTTCCTGAGCACAGCTGGGACGCTAGCTTCCTGCCCAGCCTGAACCCTGAGGACCAGCTTGCTGTCTGCCTTCCACACAAACTTCCCCTCCGTGCTGTACTGTCTTGGGCACAATGGGGGATGGCTATCTTTGAGACTTGTTGGTGACATGCATGATGGACAAACTGATACAGGCTAGGATGCAAGAGTATGTGAATGATGGCAAGGCCCAGCCACTGTAGAGATGGGGCTGGAGCAGGGGCGAGGCTGTGGTCTGGGAGAGCACGCATACAAATACAATGTGGTCTATGGGAACTTTAAAAATGCCTGGCAGTGGGCAAGCATTCTGGCTTTCCAGGACCTGGAAGGAGAGCTGTAGTACAGGAGTGGTCTGGACAGCGACTGAACCGGAAGGCCTGAAAAACCCTGTTAGCAGTTGGGTGTGGTGAGGCACACCTGCAATCCCAGCAATTTGGGAAGGTTAGAGGCAGTAACATTGAGAGTTTGAAATGAGCAAAGGCCTTGTCTCAAAACCAGAATAAAAACAAAAACAGCTCACATGACAGAATGCTTGCCTTAGGAAGATTGAGGCCTTGGGTTCAATCTCTAGGATCCCCCTCCCCCCACCAACTGCCACACACACACACAGAAAAAGAAAATCATAGTGACATGACAGGCCTGGGCAGAGATGTGGTGCGTGGTAAGGCAGGAGAGGGGAGGGGTTACAGAGGAAGGAGGGAGAGCAACTATGTGAGGCATCAGAGGGGTGCAGGGCATAGGAGGGTAGGCAAAGACTCTAGGCAGATCCTAGGAAGTGTGCTATGCATTGAGTGGCAGGGGCTGGGAGAGCGAGCAGCTGTGTGCGAGAGTGATGGCTGTGGTGTCGAGATGGTGAGGGAGAGCACTGGGGGAAGACCATGGGGGACCCGAGGCACGTTTCCACTGGACAAGCCAGGACAGAAGCCGGAGGGGACACCTCCTGCAGGCGGGGGTGGGGGAGAGAAGTACAGAAGGGATGGTCCTCAGAGTCAAGCATTTAGGATCCAGGGCAAGGCTGGGGAGTGGGGTTTGATTTCTGGCTTGGTAACTGGGAGGCCACTGGCATCTGAAGGACATCGTGGAGTAGTGACACATGGAGAAGCGGTTCTCATTGCTTAAGAAGTGAGTGGCGGCTGGGTGCCGGTGGCTCATGCCTGTGATACTAGCTACTCAGGAGGCTGAGATCTGAGGATTGGGGTTTGAAGCCAGCAGGGGCAGGAAAGCCTGGGAGACTCTTATCTCCAATTAAGTACGGGAAAACTGGAAGTAGGGCAATGGTGCAAAGTGGTAGTTAGCCTTGAGCACAAAAGTTCAGGGACAGTGCTCAGGCCCTGAGTTCAAGTCTCATGACTGACATTTAAAAAAAGTGAGGGGACTTCTTCCCTGGCTTCCTGTTCAGGGACAGGAGGGAGAAGGTGGAGATCGATAAACAAATTAATCTTAAGCAGCTCTATAATCACCTTCAACAAGCAAGGCGCCTTCCAGCCACCTCCCTCCACCTGAGTCTTCTTGATGGGATATTCACCTTGCCCCAGTGGCAAGGCCTCCAATGCTCACACCTGCTTGGAAGTTTTAAGCACTTGGAAACAACCAGGGCTCACGGCAGGTGTAGGCCATCCTTCCCACCACAAATACATGCGCTAGGCCTCCGGTTTCTTACTTTTTCTTTTTTTTTTAAGCTCAAGTTTCACTATATAGCCCAAGCTGACCTCTCCAACTCTCATTTCTCCTGCCTCAGCCTCCCCAGAGGTGACATTACAGTCATGTGCCACCATCTTTGGCTCTGGCTTCTTCTTTGTACCGTCTTGGATGGGACAAGCCCAGCAGCCTTTCCCAGGATGGGAAGAGTTACCTGGGGTAGGGGGCCTCCACGGGGTTTCACCCCTGGCCAAGGGACCTAAAGCCAGATGAGAAATCGGACACTAAGCGCAGGGCTGCAGGTTGGGTACAGGCACTTCCTGAGCCGGCCTTCGCCTGGAACGCTGCCCTCGCTAGCCCTTTCCAGGTCCCGGTCTCTGTCTGCCAGGCCTCACCTCGAATAGCAAGAAAGGAAACAGTGAAGGCTTTCTGGAGCCCGGGCCCCCAGGGGCCTGACTGTGCTGGGGAGGTCAAAGAGGGAGGGAGGGGCCGGAGAGAGGCCAAGAAGAAAGCCCAGGCCAGACAAAGGCCCCCGTCCACCTTTGAAGCTGTCTCTAACTCGAGCAGGAGTGGGGAGGGGGGGGAGAGGCAGTCTAGAGTCTCAAAGAAATGTCTCAAATTCCTGCGGAAATCTGAGGGATCAGGGTCCCCCCCTGCCCAACGGCCCTCCCCCCTCCACGCCCCCTCCACGTCCAGTCCTCCACACCTGGGGGGCCCCAACCCTTTGTCCTCAAGTAATTGCTGGGTGTTACCCCAGTTTTAGAGTCCCACTGAACCGGCAAGTTATCAGCTGCAGCCCCAGACCACCCGCCCTACACACACCCCAGAAAAACAAAACGACCCCGACACTGCCGCGCTCTTCACCGGGATTAAGCTCTTGGGGGGGGGCAAGTAATTATGACGAGCTGGAGGGCGGACCTCCCTCTTGGGCTGCAAGGTTTCCACCTTCCAAACGGCCCCGGCCCGCGGGGTCCCCCCCACCCCGCCGCCGCCCCCACCCCTTTCCGTTCAGCCCATTCTGGGGAGAAGTGGGGAGAAGGGATGGCTTTCATCCTGTTTCTTCTCTCAGTCACCATCCTCCCCGCCCCCCAGCATTTTCTCAGAAAGGAGGGGAAGGGAAACTGAGGCGGGGGAGCACCCAGAGGCGGGAGGGGCGCGGGGGGCGGGCCCCCGCTCCGAAAGCCCCCCCCCTTGACCAGATGAAAAGCCGGCGCTGGAAGGGGAAGGGTGGCTTTTATGGTGTGGGCACACCTGGAGGCCTCTGGGAAAGCCCACCCACCCGGGAGCCGGGTGGGGGCAGGGCCTCCCCCTCCCCCTCCCCCGCGCCGCGCTCGGCTCCGGGGACAATCGGGGCCCTGCCCGCCCCCGCCGCCGCTAATTGAGGCTTGTGCTCAGGTGTGGGCCCCGCCTGGGTCCCCCCGCGGGGAGCCCGGAGGACGAGGGCGGGTGGGGGGGACGCGTTCTCGCCCCCACGCCCTCCCCGCCGTCCCACCCTCCGCCCCGCCGACCTTGCTCCGCGAGCGGCGTCTCCGGGCGTCCTGGGGCCGCAATCCGGCCGGCCCGCCCGCCGCCCCTGGCCCGAACCCCGAGGCCTGGGCTCGGCCCTCCGCCGCCCCGGCCGCGCCTAGGGGTTGGGTTTTCCTCGCCCCAACAGGTAGCACGGGCCGCGCTTGGGGAGCCGGGACACCGGGGCCGGCGGAGGGAGGGAGGGAGGGGCCATCCCGGGGCCGCCCCGCCGCCGAGGCCCCCGCGCCCCGCACCTGCAGTCGTGGCACTGGGGGCGCCCCCCTTCCCGTCCCCCCCGCGCCCCGCACCTGCCGCCCCGGCCGCGGTGACCCCGGACTACCGGGGTCGTCTCCAGGTGAACAGCCCGCCCCACTGCTGCAGATCACCCGTTTGCTGGAAAATGGTTTTATTCCGGGGCCGGGGAGGAGGAGGAGGCACGGACACTAAACCACAAGCCCCTCGGTCAGGCCAGGAGGGATCTGGGGGCGGACTAAGGGGGTTCAGGGGAACACGATTGGAGGACAGCCAGGTCCAGGTCCCGGTGGGCTAGGTCTAATCTACTGTCCGGTCCACTTGTCAGGCAGAGGCTGGCCCTGGAGCCGGGGGAGGTGCCCCAGGCCGGGCGGGCCGAGCCAGCGTGCGGAGCCCGCCCCCGGGGGCCGGAAGTGCCGTGGCCTTCCCCGCCGGGGCTCCGCTGCTTCCTGGGGTCTGCCTCCCCCCTCCCCCCAGCCCCCTCTCTGGATGGGGAAGGATGGGGGGGGGAGGCTGCGGCACCCCCGACTACGTGAGGGGCTGGGGCCTCCGCGTGCGCTTGGTCCTGCGGGTGGGGGCCGAGCCCACAAACTCGAACTGCTTCTGCCTCTCGGCGTGGTTGGGGAAGGGCAGCTGGCCCTGGTAGAGGCGCTTGATGAAGTGCGCTTCCCGCTGGTTCTGGCGGCTGCGGGAGGCCTGGCGGGGCCGGCCCTGCCTGGTGAAGGCCATGAACCAGCCCTCGTGCCGGGCGTTCTGGAAGGCCGTGTAGTTGTTCTCCAGCACGATCTCGGTGAACACGCAGTCTTTGCTCTTCCCGCTGGGCTACAGAAGGGAGGAGAGGAGGGGAAGTGTCCACCCACCATCGGCAGTAGCTGTCCTTGAGCCCGTTTTATGGAACCACCGAGTCAGTGAGCCCAAGCAGTTCCAGGTCAGACGGGCATCTATTAGGCAACGTGGGGGAAATGCACAGGCTTGGCCTGAAATCACCTGGCAGTTGTGTTCCCTAAGCAAGGTTGAGCCACGGAGAAACTGAGCGCTGAGTAAAGATCAAGTAATAATGTGCTCAGCTGAGCACTTGGGGGTGGGGGAACTTGGCACCTGACAACTGTCAGGCAGGCTCAGTGAGGCCTGTTTGCCAGGTGGAGGCCATGGTCTCTGATGAAAGGAAAGAAGTGTCAGACACAGCCGCTCACTTGACCCTACGCCCCTTCTCACAGAGAGAAGCCTGAGCTCTCCAAGCACAGCCAGAATTGCCTGATTCCAACAGAAACACAATTCTTACCAAAACTGCTGGGTCCCGGGGTGTGGCTGAAGTGATGAGTGTTTTTTCCTAGCACCTCCCCACCCTGAGTTCAAACTCTAGTGCAGCCAAAACAACCCTACAAAACCCCAAAAGTGAACCAGGTGCTGGGTGGCTCATGCCCATAATCCTAGCTACTCAGGAGGCTGAGATCTCAAGACCATGATTTGAAGCCAGCCTGGGCAGGAAATTATATGTGAGTCTTATCTCCAGCTAAACACCAAAAAGTTGGAAGTGCAGCTGTGGTTCAAGTGGTAAGAGTGCTAGCCATGATCACAAAAGCTCAGGCTCTGAATTCAGGCTCCACGATTGGCCTGTAGGCACCCATGTATGCACATGTACATGCACACACAGAGTATTAGGCCCAACACTAAGGAAGGTTTCATCAGTACCAGTACAAGTAGGTTCTTAGTGTGCATTTTGCTAGTTGGAGCCTGTGGACCTTGCTGAACTTGGGGAGAGCTTCTGCCTTATATGGGTACCCTAACTTTTAACCCTTGTCAGCCCATAGCCCTCCACATGGGCTGTGGCTGCCACCTTATGTGTGATATCCTATAGGTGCTAAAATTCACCCTGATGGCTGCTAGGGGAAAGAAATACTCCCCATTCCAGAGCGAGGGACTCTTGTGGATCTCTTTCGTCCCTTCCCAGGGTGTCATTGAATAGAGAGGCAGGGGAGTGATGGATTGGGTGTTCTGAGGGACTGTCACAGTGTAGGGCTCAGTCTTTCCCCAGGCAGGTGGGGTTGGCCCAGGGAGTGCGCTGTGCCACTGGGGCCCTGCCTGCTCCCACCGCTGGGAGCCCACACGACCCTGTCTCAGTTCTCACCTTCCCGATGAGCTTGCCCCTCTTGTTCATACAGATGTACTTCTCACTCTCTGCCCCCTTGATGCGCACACGGCTGCCGAATGTGTCAGTCTCCACAATGAGCTTGGCTGTGGACAGGGCGGGGAGGGGAGAGAGACCTCTGTTCATCAGCGCCCAGGGCTGGCCTGCAAACTCAGGCAAGAGGATGGGAACTGTCAGGTACACCGCCTGTAGGCCCTTTGGGGGTGGGGAGCTCTACCATGGGCTTCTTCCTGTTCTCCTACTGCACCTCAGCTCTTACCCAGGACCTGGGGATGGACCAGGAGGACAGGCCCAGCACAATGGTACAGGTGGCCCGGGAGCCAGGACCAGGTCTCACCAAACTTGTTGCCGTCCTCAGCAGTGGCGGAGATGCGACGACCGGTGACCTGCACATGCTTGCCGCTGGTCCGGCTGTAGAGCTGGTACTCACGGATCTGCCGCCTGCTCAGCTGGTCGGTCATGGCACCCTGGTCCCTCACGTACTGGTTAAAATTAGGAGACGGGTGATTCTCCCCCTTTGCGGTTACCAAGGGAAAAATAGTGTCAATTTGCTTTGGGTGACACCACCACTGATCCGTCGGGGACAGGGATGAGGAGAGGAGTGTGGTGGGCAGGCCACCTGCCCTGCAGAGTAGAGGGTGAAAGGTAGAAGCCACATGTGGTATGGCCATGTCTTTCCCAAGCTGCTGGGTGGGCTCTGTGCCTCCCCGGAGCTAAGGAACTCGTGGCATGCCCAGGCTTTGAGAGCACAGTGATAACAGCACAGAGCTGCAGTACTAAGTCGGGAGCCATGGCCCTTCAAGGTCATAACCTAGGCATATGTCCCCTGGAGCAAGTGCACAGTGCACACAACTCACTAGGCAAAACTCCTTTCCTCTTCTCTGGGGTCTTGGCCTCATTAGCCAGGATAACCACATTGCTCCTTGGTCCTCCCCACTGGCCGGGAAAGGCAGTGCATGTGCAGGGAGCAGATGGTCTGTTAGATGCTTTGAAGGAGGGTCTCTAGAGGACATTTTGGCATCTCGTAGGTCTCTATTTTTAATGTCCAGTAGAGCCCCTGTAAGCATCTCTCTCTCTCTCCCCCCCCCCTCTCCCTCCTCTCTTTCTTCTTTTTTTTTTTTGTGTGTGTGTGCTGCTACTGAGGATTGAATACAAGACCTTGTACTCTCACTTGACTTTCTTGTCAAGGACAAGACTTTGGGCCATGCCTCCAGTCCAGAATTTTGCTGATTAATTGGAAACAGGCTGGCTTCAGACTGGCTTCAAATCCAGATCTAAATCTGGAACCTTCAGGGCTTAGCTTCATGAGTAGCTACAATTACAGGCCTGAGCCACAGATACCAGGCTATCTATCTATCTATCTGGTGCAGGTCCTGGGGCTTGAACTCAGAGCCTGGGTGCTGTCCCTGAACTTTTTTGCTCAAGGCTAGTGCTCTACCACTTAAATCACACTCCACTTCCAGCTTTTTGGAGATAAGAGTCTCACAGACTTTCTTGCCAGGGTTGGCTTCAAACCTCCATCCTCAGATCTCAGTCTCCTGAGTAGCTAAGATTTCAGGCATGAGCCACTGCTGCCTGGCTAGTGTACATTTCTTTATAGTCCTCCCCTACCTTGTTTCAGATGCCGAGGGCCCTTGGAGAAACAGGACCTTTTCCAGTATTCTCTTGGATGGGCTGTGTGGTGTGGGGTTCCTCCACATGCACCTCCCAGTCCCAATCTATAAATCTCCAAGTCTCAATGCTAGGATAGTATGGTTTGTTGGACTAAGGTGTTGCTTAAGTGGTAGCAAGCATGAGGCCCTGCATTCAGTCTCCACTATCACCCCTTAAACATAAAGGGAGATGGAGACAGCGTGGGAGTTGCTATTTGGTGGGTCCCCTATCTGCTAACATCACAATGTCACCAAGAGCAGGGCTTGTGGCCAGGTGGGGATGCTGCTGTCCTTGGGCTGGCCAGGGCTGGGGGAGGAGCCATTTCTGTGCAGGCAACATAGGAAAGCGGGCTCAGTTCCCCCCCCCCCGCCCCCAGCTGCAATACCCAGCGGTGGAGAAACATTACTTCCTGCCCTCTGTGTCCTGCAAGGTGCCTGCAAGGGTGACAGTCCCCAGCGGCTGCTGCAGCTAGCTTCAGTTCACTTTTCTCCATCTGGATCCTGCTGCCCTGTGTGGGGACAGACCTTTCCTGCCCCCACCTCAAAGGCTTAATTCCATTTTGATCCCCAGGCCTGATCTCAGCCATCTGGATGGAGCTGGGTGTAGCTCGGCATGTCAGGGGCCACTCTCCCCCTGGGGCAGACCAGGGCTGACCCTTCCGACATGTCACCGTCCATTCCTTTGACAGCACCTCCAAGGCCAGGCGCCCTTCTGAGATGCTGGGACAGCAGCATCTCTGTCCCGCACCCTATCCTCCATCCCCGCCTGGAAAGGCCTGGGACCAGCGTTTGGGATGAAAGCTCTCTTGGCTTGGCCCTCGCTGGCCTCTCTGCCAGGGATGGGGTCCTGCTTGCCCCAGCCCCAGCCTCCTGGCCCAGGTTCAGACCATCCGCCCCTCTTGGCGGGCAGCCTCCTCCTGGCAGTCTGTTTCAGGTCAGAGGCAGAAGGGGCCCCCAGAAGCCCCCTCCTCTCCTTGTCCCCCTTCAAGCCTTTCACAAAAGCAGCCCACGCCCGCCCCACAGCCCACAGCCCACAAGCCCCTCTCCCCGCGGGACCTTGCCTGTTCCTTTCATGTTCCCGCTGCAGGGGGACCTCCCCTTCCACTGCCTGAGACAGCTGCTTGTCAGCCGGCCCCTCAAGCATGGCTGTGGTTCAGCCTGCTGCCCCCCCTCCAGGGGGCGAGGGGGCACTTCAAGGGGAAAGGACAGCCTTGCCACCTTCCTGAGTCCTGAATGGGGCCTCATCCAGGCCATAAACGCCCGGCCAGCCGCACCATTGTGCTAATTCCCCTTCCAGAACAGGTTGGGCCCACCCCCAGCCCCCTCCGGACCAGGCTGAGGGCTTTCTTCTTGCTCTCCCTGGACGTGTGAAGCAAAAGGCCTGGAACGGGGCTAGAGCAAAAGGGGGAAGGAAAAGAAGGGGGTGTTGTCGTTCTCCCACCCCCCCACTGCTTCAAAGGCAGCCCCTTTCCCTCCCCCCCCCTTTTTAAGGCATTTACCTTCCTACTGGATGGGAAGAGAAGCAATCCTGCAGCCTGGGAAAGCCAGGCATGGCTCCCCAGAGCGGTTCTGGACCAGTGCATTTTAATAGCTGCACTTTTATGGAGGATCACACAGAAAAAGGGGATGGAGGCCAGCCTTGTATGGGGGGGCTGAGGCTTGGGGGAGCGGGAGGTGTGCACGAGGAGAAGCAGAAGGCAGACTTGAGAGGAAAACCCTGAATCCCATCCCAAATGCATCTCTGCGGGCTTGACCTAGTGCTCTGTAGGTTAGCAGTCACCTCACCCTGCCGGGTACTGTGTGCCCAGGAAGCCCCGAGTCGCCCATGCCCAGACACCTGTGTGAGGGGGAGTGGCCGGGGAGTGGGCCATGCAAATAGTTTTGTACCAAAACCTGTCCTTTCAGGTACCAGTCTCATCGCAGCCGTGGCCTCTGCTCGCTTCCAGCTGCTCCCTGCTTTGGGAGCGTCCACCCCCACGTCTGGAGGATCTGAGCGCTCAGTCCTCTTGGAGCCCAAGGCAGAGGGGTACAGAGGGCAACAGAGACCCAGGGGGGGGCAAAAGGGCTGTCAGAGTACTGAGATGATGAGCTCAGTGATCCCCAAGTCTGCCACATCCTCTCCCCCAACAGGTCCCCTAAGCTCGCACTTCAAACCTAAGTACTTCCTGGACTTCCCTGGGAGACAGAACTACCTTCCCTCCTCTTAGGTGGGGGGGGCAAACACTAGGTAGGGGTGCCTACCTGAGTTTGACAGCAAAGAATCAAGAGCTGCAAGCACCTGTGTAGAGAGACAAGGTGCACCCAGCTGTAGGTGCCAGTGGCCAGCCCAGTGCCCCCCTGCCCCCTGCCCTGTCCCACCCAGCCAACCCAAATGGGAATCCAGGGGAGCCAGGTCTGCGGTGGGGCTGGAGAGGGTAAAGGAACTCCAGGCCCCGGCGGCACTTACAGAGTCAGGTTAGGCAGCAGGCGTGTAGCTCCCATCGCTGGACAGACTTCGCAGGGCTGCTGCCCTCCTCTGCCCCCAAACTCAGGAGCAGATGTGGGCAGGCCCCAGGGGTAGAGTCCCAGAGAAGCGAAGGTCTCTGAGCCACAGGTTTTCAGGGGGGAGAGGAGCAGGGAGAGGGGAGGAGGAGGAAAAGGGGAGGAGGGCGGGGGCGTAATTGGGAGCTGAGGTGTGAGGTGGCCACCTTCCTGGCCAGTGAGGCTGCGAAGAAGCAGCAGCGGGGCCAGGGCTGCCAGGCACAGGGGATGGGGGCCGCGGGAGCTCTCTGCACGGGAGGCTGGCCCCTGAGCCCTCCTGCTCTGTTCTTGACCAGCTCGCTCACAAGCACAGAACCTGCTGGCCCAGGCTCAGTGTGTGTGTGGAGGGGGTAGGAGGTCCCTTGTCTTCCAGTCTCGGGGCAGTGGCTCCCCCTCAGGTTTGGAGCCCCATCTTCCCCTCAGGGTAAGCCAGCAGGTACTGAGCTAGGGTGGGGGCAGAGGTCCTGGCTTGGGGCAGAATTAAAAGGAGGAGCCTCCCTCTGGGGGGCAGGGATGGGCCTGGCCACCAGGGAGGAGGGGCTATGGCTGGCTGGCAGCAAAGAGTGGGTGCAACAGGTTGAGGTGAGAGGTGAGGGGGAAGAGTTCTTGAGAGGATCCCAAGAGAGGCACAAAGTTGGCTTGAGACAGAGACAGAGCCTAGCAGACCACATTGGGACCCTGTGGTCTCTGAGAAATGGGGACAGTCATGGACCTTTCCTTGGGAGGCCCAAGTCACGCTGCAGCCCCCCCCCACTCCAGGGGTTCACGCCTGTAATCCTAGCTACTCGGGAAGTAGGATCATGTAATCCTCATGAGGTCTGAGGATCATGGTTCAAAGCCAGCCTGGGCAGGAAAGTCTGTTTCACTTATCTCCAATGAACTCCCCAAATAGCTGGAAGTAGAGCTGTGGGCCCAGTGGTTAGGCCTCCAGCCTTGAGCATACAAGCTCAGTACCCAGGCCCTGAGTTCAAGGCCCAGCCCACCCCCCTGACAAAAAAGACATGCGTGCCAGTAGTCTGGACATACGGCTGGCTCTGTATCTTATTGGGCTCTCTCTGCATGGACTGTGGCAATGCCCTCCAGAATGCTTCATTGGAGGGGCACAGTGACAGCCAGGGTCCTGGAAGCTGGTGATCAAAGGTGGATGGTGATGTGGGTGGAAAGGGAGTGCTGGGGGGGCGCTTGGAGTAAGACCCCATTTAAGGTGCTCAGCCCTCTACTGAGGGCTGTTCCTGTATGTTGTGGCTGTTGACTTATTTTCCTAGAGAGCTGACTGTGATGGTCAAATTCTCACCCCTGGGTTCCTTCTCACCTTCCTGAGCTCCATCAATCCACAAAGTGGTCTGCCACCTTCCCCCACACAAACAAGCCGAGCAGATACCTTTGGAGCACTGACCAGCTCCAGCTGGGAACGCTCAGTCTGGCCCAGCCCAAACTCTAAGTGCCACTGCAGGGGTCCCGGATGCCTGGCCTGTGCTGGTGTGCCGAGGGGGGTGTGAGCCCTGTTCTAAGTCACTCCTGGGAGTCCAGCATTTTGGGATTTAAACTCAAATAATGTCAAGCTTTGAGGGGTTTTAGAGCTCCTTACCTGGCTCACCGCTGAGCTCCACACTGCACAGTAAGTGCTCCTGCTGGGGAAGGCTTGGTACCCAGCTCCCGGAGCAGTGCTGGCCCCTCTCCAAGCCGGCTCGCCCTACCTCCCATCACCCACAGTCCTCTCACCATTTCAAGCTTGATTCTTCAGATTCTGCTCCTTCCATGCTTCTCCCTGTGTCTCTGATCTCATCCAGGTCTGACCATGGCTCTCCAAGAAACCTTTGGACGCCCCCACTAGCTCCCAGACAGTTTTAAAGGCCACCTCCCTTTGACCTCAGTTCCAGGGTCAAGCCAGGTCACAGGTAAAAGGGTACAGATGCTTCAGGGATAGCTTAGACCTTAGGGTTCCATAGCAGGGGTCATCTGGGCAATGGAAGGCAGGTGTTGGGGGTTCATTTGTTAGGGAGATATTGGGAGCTGCTCAAGACCTCTGGGCCTGAACACCTGGTGGTTTCACTGGCTACACTCAGCCCCAGCCTGGGCTTCCATAGTAACAGATGGCTGAGGTGGACGCCAGGGGACTCCACGGCGTTACGGGGCAGTAAACTTCCTGCATAGGCATCTCTGCTTCTGCACCCTCTCCCATTCTGCACCTGCTTGCCTGGTCCTGGCTCCTTTACCCACAAAGAGAGTCAGGGCGGGGCCTAGAGGCAGCATGTAGAGACTGGGGCCTCATAGGCTGTGTGACCTATGGCAAGTCCCTTCACTTCTCTGGTCCCAGGCACCCAGATTGTACAAAGGAAGTGGCTATTCTCATGTCAACAGAGCTAGGAGCTCACTGAAAGCTGCGATACATGGCCACAATGGAAGAGGAGGCCTGGACCCATGTGATCGAGCCTCAGTTTACCTAACAGAGTGAGCTTGGGGCAAGAGGAGGGAGAAGGGAGGGCTCATGACCATCCCTGGGGGGGTGGGGTGAGGGGTGATTAGGGGAGAAGTAGCCGCTGCTGTAGTTAATCCACCCCCTAGTGCCAAGTTCAACACCCTCCAGCTGGGGCTGCCTCGCGCCTCCTCACAGCCCAGCTGTGGCAAACAGAGCCCCCGCTGCACGACTGCCACTGTCACCACCTGCCTCAGCCCAGCGACCCTTTCCTGTTGAATCACAGCAGGATTAGGGCATGAGAAGGGCAAAGGGCACCCTAGCAACCTGGACTGACTCCTATCTGCTAGCTGATGCCTACTGCCTACCAGCAAACCATGATCAAGTGACCACAGGTGTCTGAGGAGCGCCCTCTGGTGTGGATCCAGATCCCAGGCCCTTGCCTGGGACTTGGGAGGCTGGGAAGAAGTCTGTGCCCAGGGCTCCTCATTCTAATGCCTGCCCCTCGTCCATCTCTCCCGTAGGAGAGTAGCCAAATGCAAGGGTCCTGGGGCTAGGATTACTTGGCTCCTTCCTCCCTTGCTGTGTGACCTTGATGCAAATTGGTGTCACCTCTCTGTGCTTCATTTGAGAAGTGGGACTAATAAATCCCACCTCATGGGATTTGTGAGAACTAAGGGGGCAAATCTATAGACAGCTCACAGTGTGCCTGTCAGGGCTATTACACCCATCCACCTTCCTTCTCCATAGACTTGCATGCTCACTCCAGCCGCCAGCACTCACTTTGCACACACTTTCCTGTTCCTAGGAACACCTTTCTGCCAGGTCCGCACGGAATCCCTGTTGCCTGGGCAGCCTTGCTCCCAAGGCCTCTCTAGACCTAACTAAACCGTGCTGCTTCCTTCAAAGCATTTCTAACAGAAATTAGTTTTTTTTTATACTTTGCTTATGTGGTGCTGAGGAATCGAACCCAGGGCCTCAGGCATGCAAGGCAAGCGCTCTACCACTGAGCCATCTTGCCAGCCCCTTCAAAGCATTTCTAGTCATTGAAATACTTGTATGCTTCCTCTAGATTATAGGCAACTTGAATGCAAGGAGCTGGGTTTTGCCTATGGTGTGCGGCTGTGGCCAAAACCAGGCTCAGTGAACACCAAGGAGTTGCAAAGGAGTCCAAATCCTGGTTGCTGACCATCCCATGAAGGTGCCGAGAGATCTCTGACCTCAGCTGGGCATGATGATGTACACCTATAATCCCAGATACATGAGGTAGAGGGCAAGAGGATTGGAAGTTTTGAGTTTAGCTCAGGCAGAGTTAGGGAAGCCCTGACAAAATGAGAACAAGAGTTGCAGATGTGGTCCAAGTGGTAGGATGCTTGCCAAGGCTCTGGGTTGAATCCACCTCCCAAGCTGGGGGACTGATTGAGAACAATCTCTACTGGTTTGCTTGTTTGTCCACTCCAGGCCCATGGGGGAGATGCAGAGAAGCTTAGCAGAGGCTAAGTCCCCAGCATGGTGGGGGGGCAGGATGGGGGAGAGGTTTCCATGCTATTGGCCATGCTATTATGCAACAAGAGATGAAGACAGGGCCATCACTCCAGGTCTGGCCAGGAAGGCCGCCAGAGCCAGGCAGTTACCCTCCAGCCATATCACTTAGCTGGATGGAATGTAGGGCTCAGCACCCTCACAGAAGCCTGGAAGAGTTCCCACTTTTGACAAGTGTCTCACGAGAGGGGAGCAGGCTCTGGACATGGGGCCTCTAGGTCCAGGTCCTTCCTGGTAAGAGGTACAGAGGGGTCCAGTCGTCCTGTCAAAGGGTTTGAGGGACTGGCTCAGCCCAAGTCAGGGGCTTAGAGGAGGAGAGGAAGGAAGATGGGTGTGCCAGTTTAAGGGCGCCCTCTGCTGGGCACATGGGCTGGTGCAGCAGGAAGTAGGTCCATCCAGGAAAGGAGAGAACAGTACTGACCAAGTAAACTTTATTGTGGCCCTGCACTTGCTTGTTGGGCTCTTCTAAGACCTCCTAGAACTGGAGGGTTATTTTAGGGGGCGGGGGAGGGTGTAGGATTCTTGTGTGGCCCCCACCATGTGCTGTCATAGTCTGACTCAGGCGGAGGGGCCAGTGGGGAATACCAGAGCACGACTCTCACTGTCATGGCCAAGGCCATTGCAGGCTCCTCATTTCTTGACTGCCAGTTTCTTAATTTTCATTGTGATTTTGGCCTGTGGAGGCAAGGGAGCTTCAGTCTCTACTGCCCCCTGCCCCCCAATACCCGCTCACCTGAGGCCTACCCTTCTGGCTTCCTACTCACCTTTTTCCCAGGGCTCTTGTCTAGACCTGAAGTAGACCTGGAATAGTGTGGAGTTGGCAAGGAACAGAGATGCAGGTGGGCAAGACAGAAGAATCAGTGAAGGCCATCGCTTTGGCTCTCCTAATCTGCGTAGGGAGTGAACTGGGCCTGGGCAGTGCAGAGAGGCCAAGGACCTAGCCTAGAAGCTATGGGGCTCCTCCCCCCACCCTCTCCCTCAGGGTACTCTGCCTCTCTTCATTTTATTATTATTATTTTTGTGATGGGTGCTAGAGATTGAATTCAGGACCATGAAATGCTAGGCAAGTGCCCTACCACTGAGCTACAGCCCTCTGCCACCCAGCCCAGCCCTTCTCCTTTTTAAACATTTGTCTTTCTCCTTTTAGGCTTCCATCTGCTTTCTTTCAGTTATCAAAAATACTTTTTTTCTTTGTAAAATGTTAACCACATTGCATATAACATAGCAAATATGAGGATAAGTTACTGATAATTTTCCTTACTTCCTACCAATATTAACGTTCTTATAAATTATGTTTAATGTATATAAAAATAAAATTATATGCATCTTGTCCTTTTAACTCTTGTCAACACTTTCCAGGCTGCTGTGCAATTTAAAAGCATCATGTGACATTCCCTTTGCCCAGCCACAGAGAAAAGATACAACGTTTTAGTTAATTATGATGTGGGAGACATTTAGAGGGCTTCCATTTTTCATTAGTATTTGGACAAAGCCATGGTAAGTTTCCTTGCTCATACAATTTCCTCCATACTCCCCCATTCTCTGGAAGGATTGCCTAAGTGAAACGAGGTCCAAAAATAGAACATGTGCATGCTTTCCAAGATGGCTGTGCTGACCCCAGTCCATGTGTGCAGATGTGAGTCTGTATACATGCCCGTGGGACCGTGCTTTCTAATACTACGTATCTCACGCACAGGATCTAGGGAAATTGAATAGACAGAGTTACCTTGCTGCCTCTTCTTCTTTTTCCAGCTTTTTTTTCTGGGAATCAAAGACAAGCATTACTAGAGAGTTCAGCTGAAATGCAGGGCCAGAACCGACTCTCCAGGCCCAAGCCATCCTGGCAGAGCAGCTGGCAGGACTCAGAGACATCTTCCACCCCAAACCTGGGATCCCAGCTCCTCCCAGCTGCCTCCACAGGGTCCCAACCCCACTGAAGGCCACTTTGTTCTTTTTCCCACCTTAGTCACGCTTATGTGCTTGTGGGGTACCAGCCTCTTCCCATGGTGGACAGGGGTGTCCTCTAGAGACACATCTACATCTTCGTCCTCAAAGTCTTCCTCCTCCTCTTCCTCAATTTCTTCCTCCCCTTCTTCGTCAACCCAGGATAAGTCTGAAATCTCTGTGAAGTTGTGGGCCAGGTGGATGCAAGGTAGGGAAGGAAAGGCAGAGTTTTGAGGTCTAGGTGATGTCTGCTTCCTACTTTAGGACCCGTTTCACTCCATGTATGGTTTTGGGGGAACCCTGGGGCTGAATATGTACACCTATTTTTCTGTACCCCCACATAGGGGCCAGGGTGAGTCAGGGGATAGAGAAAGACCCCAGCCCAAGGCAAGAGACAGAAAGGTAAGGGTATGAGGGAAGACATGTACTGGGAAGTGGGTACGTGGGGAAGGAAAGAGCACGGCCACGGCAGGCCGGCCTGTGCCTGCTCCCCGCCGTGCTTCATGTGCCCCCAGCTTCACCCCCAGTGTGGCAATACTGCCCTGCTGACTACAAGAGCTGGGGCCTAGACGATTGCTCATGAGGATCCACTCTCATGAATACACTAATTCTGTCTTAAGGGACTAGGTCTTTATTTTGCCAGTCCTGGGGCTTGAACTCAGGGCCTGGGCACTGTCCCTGAGCTTCTTTTGCTCAAGGCTAGCACTCTACTGCTTGAACTACAGCTCCATTTCCCAGTTTTTTGGTGTTTAATTGGAGGTCAGGGTCTCAGACTTTCCTCCCTCGTCTGCTTGGTCCTCAGATCAAGTCTTCTGAGTAGCTAGGATTACAGGTGTGGTGAGCCACTGGTGCCTGGCTGATTTTTTTTTTTTTAAAGACAGTGTCTCACTATGTAATCCACATTGGCCTCAAACTCATGATCCTCCATTCAGCCTCCAAGTGCTGGGATTATAGGCATGTGCCATCAGGCTGACAAATCTCTTTTCTTTATAATAAATACCCAAGGCTGGGTATTTTATAACAACGTAAGATGGAAAAGACAAGAAACAGGCAGAACCTGAAACAGGCAGTTAAGGAAAATGAAACATGCCAAGGGCTTGGAGGCAGGAAGAGGACCCTAATTATGGCTTTATACTATCTAGTGTATTCTGAGCTTCTTTCGAATACCCAATTTATTTCTATAAAGACTGAAAACTGGGCACCTATGGCTCACACCTGTAATCCTAGCTATTCAGGAGGCAAAGATCTGAGGATCACAGTTCAAAGCCAGCCCAGGCAGGAAAGTCCATAGGACTCTTATCTCAAATTAACCACCAGAAATGTGGAAGTAGAGGTGTGGCTCAAAGTAGTAGAGCACTAGCCTTAAGCACAAAAGCTCAGGGACAGTGCTCAGGCCCTCAGTTCAATGCCATGACCAATAATAATAACAAAAAAGACACTCTGGGCTGGGTGCCAGTACTCATGCCTGTAATCCTAGCTACTCAGGAGGCTCAAAGCCATCCCAGGCAAGAAAAAATCCATGAGACCCTTCTCTCCAGTAAACCACTAGAAAACCAGAAGTGGTGCTATGGCTCAAGAGGTAGAGCTTTGAGCTGAGGAGCTCAGGGATAGTGACCAGGCCTAGAGTTCAAACCACATAACCAATTAAAAAAAAAAAGACAGCTCCTTATGTTACAAGTGAGGGCTGCAGCCCACAGAGGACACTGCTAGGAGCTGAAGAAGTACTGGATCCTGATCCTTCCCTATGGCCTTCCAGTGCAGGCCAGGGGCAATCACGTTGCCTTTGGGGAGTTTATCCAGAAAAAAAATATCAGGAATTCAAGTGTTTGAGTCATGCCCTGAGCTCAGTACTGCACCCCACCCCCACCCCTTGCCCATATCCAAGCTCTGACTTACCGTAGCACTCCTGCCCACTGAGGAACACAGGTCCTGAGCCAGCCCGAAGATGAAAAGTGACTGGAGGAGAAAGCTCTACTCTTGACATGGTGACCTGCAGTGGGAAAGGTCAGGGAAAGACAGGGTAACTCAGATCTTGGCACCTGACAGGGGCTGCCACAAGCACTCTCCCTTACTGCCTAGGTTCATGGGTCCTGTGAGTCTCAGTTCTCAACCCTCCACCCTCCTGCTGAGGTGGTCTCTATCCTAAACTGGGTAACTGAGCCTCTCATTCTCTACAGTGCCTGGGTACTGTCCCTTAGTTTTTTCAAGTGCTCTCCTACTTGAGTCACAGCTCCACTTCTGGCTTTTGGTGGTTAATTGGAAATAAGATTCTTTTGGACTTTTGAACTGTCATTCTCAGATCTCAATCTCCTGAGTAGCTAGGATTACTGGTGTGACACACCAGCACTCAGTTTCTCATTTCTACTTCCTATTCTATCTGTACATATTCCCCCAGTTCTTATGACCCTCTCACTTGAATTTCCAGTCCTATAATCAACTGGGTAGCTGTTAGATATCCCACATTTAACACAGATCTTTAGAAAATTATAATCCAGGGCTGGGAAGGTGGCTCAGTGGTAGAGCGCTTGCCTTGCATGCATGAGGCCCTGGGTTCGATTCCCCAGCACCACATAAGCAAAAAGAAAAAAAGCCAGAAGTGGTGCTGTGGCTCAAGTGGTAGAGTGCTAGCCTTGAGCTGAAGAGCTGAGAGACAGCGCCCACGCCCAGAGTTCAGCCCCACAACTGGACCCCCCCAAAAAAAGAAAGAAAATTATAATCCATATCCACCATCCTGTCCCAGTAGATAGCTGTTATTCTATTCAATTGGGACAAGCTGTTATTCTATAGAGTCAGGCACAGGAGTTTTTTTCTTACATTCTATGTCTGATATGTCAGCAAATCCTGTTGGCTCTGTTGCCACATTATATCCAAACTAGATCATATCTTTGTAAATGCATTCTCCATTTATGATACTTCCAATGCATCATGCATCTATTTGAATACAAACCCGTTATGAGTCGAGGAGCATCTGTATGATATTGGGGTCCTAGTCCATGCAGCAGTGCAACAGAATTATATGCACAGAAAAAGCAGGCAGACTTGGTGGCACAAGTCTGTAATCCCAGCACTCAGAAGGCTGAGGCAGGAAGATCTCAAAATGAAGTCTGGCCTGAGGTTATATAATAAGACCAATCTAAAAAGTTAGGAAGAAAAAAATATAAAAGAGCAGGGCACCCTTGGCTCAAGTTTGTAATCCTAGCTACTCAGGGAGCTGAGCTATGAAGATTGCAGTTCAAAGCCAGACCAGGCAGGAAAGTCCATGAGACTTTTTTTTTTTTTTTTTGTCAGTACTGGGGCTTGAACTCTGGGCCTGGGTGCTGACCCTCAGCAATTCAGCTCAAGGCCAGCACTCTACCACTTGAGCCAAAGTACCACTTCCGGTTTTCTAGTGGTTTTTTGGAGATGAGTCTCAAGGACTTTCCTGCCCAGGCTGGCTTTGAACTGTGATCCTCAGATCACAGTAGCTAGGATTACAGGTGTTGAGCCACTAGTACCTGGATTTCCATGAGACTCTTATCTCCAATTAACTACCCAAAAACTGGAGGTGGCTCAAAGTGGTAGAGTGCTAACCTTGAACAAAAAAGCTCAGGGACAGTACCAGGTCCTGAGTTCAAATCCCACAACTAAATAAAAAAAGAAAAGGGGGTTGGGAAGGTGGCTCAGTGGTAGAGCACTTGCCTTGCATGCATGAGGCCCTGGGTTCGATTCCTCAGCACCACATAAGCAAAAATAAAAAAAGCCGGAAATGGTGCTGTGGCTCAAGTGGTAGAGCGCTAGCCTTGAGCTGAAGAGCTGAGGGACAGCGCCCAGGCCCAGAGTTCAGGCCCCATGACCGGACTCCCCTCCCCCCAAAAAGAAAAGAAAATCCCTATCATTATTCACAAACCATGGTTAATTGCACAGAAAGCCCAAGATAAACTGGCAGAAATGAGAGCTTCTGGATACATTAGTGATAGCTAAGTCATCAGTGTCTCAGTCACTGGCAGTGAACAACTTAACAGTGTTACTGTTAAGGAGAGCTCCTTGGCTTGCCCGGGGCATGCGGCAAGGATGAGTGAGGACAGGAGCAGGCTGTGCACAGGGCTGCTATTGCTTCTCTCACGTTGTCTGACCTGGCTGGACCTGCGCAGCATAGCAGCACCTTCCTTTGCACGCAGGCCCACTCTGGGGGTAAGGTTGGGCAGCTGAGGGAAGAGGCTCACCATGGGCAGGACAGAGGGCTTCAGCGAGGCAATAGTGATGGGCTGTGACTTCCTGTCCTCCATGCTTGGTGGGGCCAGGACCTCCACCCGGTTCAGCTCTTCTTTGGCTTTCTCACTCAGGCAGATCTGAGAGGGATCGAAAGCACAGGGGCACCTCATCACTTCACTTGTTGAGACCCATCATTGCTCTTGCTCATCCTCCCGTCCTTGGAGGAACACCCACCGTACTGATCACCAGCCTACAGCTCTCTTTCTTCTCCAGCTGGGGCTTGAAGGTGCAAGACCGCTTCTCCTGATTTAGCTCAGCACCTGCCCAGGAAGGGAGGAATGACACTGGGAGCACAAAAGGCCCAGGGGAGGCCATACAAGCTCCTTTGTTTCCCTCAACCCCAGGAGGACCAGCTCAGCAGCAGCACCTCCATCTTGTCTCAGCTCGGGGACAGTGGGACGTGGCAGGCTGAGCTGGGCAGAGCCTCGGCTCTCACTCACCCCAGAGCACGGTCCTGGTTTCTTTGTCAGCCATGCTGCTGGTGCTGTCCTAACTTGGTCCCAGGTAGCAATGGGGTGGCCGGGCAGCTGTAAGAAGGGGGCCTGCGTTGAGGTGAGGCCCTAGGCCCCTGTTTGGAGCTCAGCAGCACTCGTTCTGGTGCCAGCAGGGAAGCAGTAGGTGGCAAGGCTTTGGGGGGCCTGCCAAGGTCAAGGAACATTTAAAAACTCTCAGAAGACAAGAATCAACTGTCTCACTGTTCACAACAGCTCAAAGGCAAGCCTCGAACGCTCCCAGACAGCAGAGCTTACGGAGAGAACGATTCCCACAGCCCAGGCCCGAAACTGGCGGTGAGGCTGCCTGTCTGCCCTTGGGTGTGTGTCCATTTTGGGCCCAGTTCTACTCACCCCCTGGGTCCTGGCCTTTTCAGCCCCCGCTCAGTCTTACCGCGCTGCCGGTCAAGCCATGTGTCCTCCCGTTCAGGGCAGCCTCATCACCTTTATTGGAGCCAAAGCTCTCTGCCCTACCAGGCTGTTAAGAAGCCTGGGAAGGGGGAGGTATCCAATCAGCCTTCAAGAACATCCTCCTCATTCATTCTTCTGTCCTTTCCTCCTCTGTGCTGCAGAATCACCTGTGCATTTGTTAACAAACAATTGTCAGCCTTTCCGCTGTTTCCCATTGAATTGGAAAAAGGTGGGGTCAAGAGAATTAAAATTTTTTACAAGCTCCCAGGTGAACTTGCTGCTGCAGGTCCAGAGCCACGGAGTGAGAATTACTGTGAGGGCCAAGTTTACCGAGGCCCTTAGCACCCCAAAGCTTAGAGATGTGTTCATAAGGAAGCAGCAAGCATTGACTTCTATTGTGCAGTTCTTGTACAAGAATTCTAATTGTTCTGCATCTTTGTCAACATTAGGCATTGTCAGTCTGAATCTTAGCCAGAATTCTAGTGGATGTATTTTATTTTTTAGTGGCATTCCATTGTGTTTTTTGTTTTCTCTTGATGACAAGTAATGTTGAGTATCTTTTAAAGAAATTATCAGTCACTCAGTGCCTAGGCTCTGAGTTCAAGCCTCAGAACAGGCACACACACATACAAACAACAAGAAACAAAAATAACTTTACTATCTTGATTATTATAGCTGTATAAAGTAATTTTTTTGTCCTGGGACCAGGGCTGAATTCAGGGCCTCATGCTCTCAGCTGGTTCAGCTGGCACTATACCACCTGAGCCATGTATTTAGTTCAGTTTCTTGAAATCAGGTAGTGTGAATCCTTCAATGCTGGCTTTTTTTTTTTTAATGTGTGCCAGTCCTGGAGCTTGAACTCAGGGACTGGGCCCTGTCCCTGAGCTTTTCTGCTCAAGGCTAGAACTCTACCACTTGAGCCACAACTCCATTTTTTTGGCACTTTCTTGCCCGGGCTGACTGTGAACTGATCCTCAGATTTTAGCCTGAGTAACTAGGATTACAGGTGTGAGCTACTGATCCCTGGCTCTAACTCTGGCTTTTTATTCAAAAACTATTTTAGGAGCTGGGCGCTGGTGGCTCACGCCTGTAATCCTAGCTATTCATGAAACTAAGATCTCTAATAAACCACCAGAATGCTGGAAGTGGTGCTGTGTCTCAAGTGATAGAGCACTAGCCTTGAGCTGAAGAGCTGAGAGACAGCACTCAGGCCCAGAGTTCAAGCCTCAGGACCAACAAAAACAAAAAACAAAAAACTATTTTAGGGAGCTGGGTGCTAGTGACTCATGCCTGTAATCTTAGCTGCTCACGAAACCAAGATCTGAGGATTGAGGTTCAAAACCAGCCCCAGGGCAGGAAAGTCCGTGAGACTCCTATCTCCAATTAAGCACAAAAAGCCAAAAATGGAGCTGTGACACACATGGTAACATGCTAACTTTAAGCACAAAAGCTCAGGGATAGTGCTTAGGCCCAGAATTCAAGCTTCAGGACTGGTAAACACACAAAATACCAAAAACAAAAACCAAACACACACCAAAAAAAAAACCAAAAGAGAAAAATCAATTTTAGTGTTGGGGGTATAACTAGTGTCCAAGAAGCACTGGGTTCAAGTTATAGCACTACACAAAAAATTCCTTTAGCTACTCCTTATTCCTTGTTTCTTCATATAAAATTTATAATCAGCTTATTGGTTTCTACAGAAAGCTTCTGAGATTTTTATTTTTTGTCAACTGTGAAGTTCAGTATGGAGATAGCTGACATCAGTTTTGAATCATCTAAACCATAAACATATTACAGTCTGTTTAGATCTTTACTTTTCCATGGATTTTTGTAGATTTTATTTTATTTTTTATTGTAAAGATACTATACAGAGGGTTACAGTTACACGAGTAAGGTAATGAGTACACTTCCTATTGAGCATTGTTACCCCCTCCATTGTTTTCCCCCTACCATGCCTTCCCTTCTTTGTAGATTTTAGTACAACTCTGGCACCATCTTGTTAAATTTATTCCCACGAGTTTCGTGGTTTTGGGTGCAATGGCAAATGGTATTTAAAATTTCTTCTGTGAAAGCATGAAACATTGTACAAAGGGGTTTCACTGAGATATTTATATACATGCTTGTAATGTACTTGGATCAAATCCCTTTCCCCATTTACACTACTCTCCCAGCCCCCTCCGATTCTCATCATCTACCAGTTTGTTGCTAGTATATACAAATAATCCCCACCCACTCCAGTGGTGCGGATTAAACCCAGGGTCTTGCATATGCTAGGTAAACACTTATACAATTGGTTTTTATATATTGGTCTTACATCCTATGATTTTGCAAAATGTAGCTTATTAGTTGGTTTGCACTCTAAATCATGACACCTGTAAGTAAACACAGTAATAATACTTCATCCTTTCTGGTGTCTCACTTCTCATCTTTTTCTTTTGTGCCCCTTTCCTCTTCCAATACTTGATCCTCTTTCTCAGCCTCAGAACTGGAAATATAGATGGGGGGCTACTCTGCTGGCATTTTGCCTTTTTCTTGATTTAAAGTAAAGATCCAAGTTTTTTACTTGTAAGTATGTTGTTGGCCTTGAAATTATAATCCTCCTTTCTCAGCCTCTTGAGTAACTGGTACTACCTACAGGCTTGTTTGATGTCCATTGCCTGGGTAAGAATGTTTGGGATTTGATGACAAGCATGAGACCTTGGATGTAATCTTCTCACTACTGAAAGAAAAAAAGTTTTTGCCCATTCTTCCTGTGCTGTTTTTTTGGTGCTGATCCTGGGGCTGGGCACCCATCTCTGTTTCCCCCCACCCACCCCCCTTCAGGGTTATCACTCTTATCAGCTGAGCCATAACTCCACTTTCAGCTTTTTAGTGGTTAATTGGAAATGAGAGTTTCCCAGACCTTCCTGCCCTGGCTAGCTTTGAACTGCAATCCTTAGATCTCTGCCTCCTGAGTAGCTAGGATTATATGTGAGATACTCTGGCACCACTAGATAGCGACTTTTAAAATATTTTTTTCTTTATATATTGAGATGATCTATTATTTCTGTTTATATTTTACTTTCTGTGTGTGTGTGTGTTGGTCGCGGGGCTTGAACTTAGGGCCTGGACACTGTCCCTGACCTTTTTTTGCTCAAGGTGGGTGCTCTACCACTTTGAGCCACTGCTCCACTACCAGTTTTTGAGTGGTTAACCGGAGATAAGAATCCCACAGGGGGAGCTGGGAAGGTGGCTCAGTGGTAGAGCGCTTGCCTTTCATGCCTGAGGCCCTCGGTTCGATTCCTCAGCACCACATAAGCAAAAAGAAAAAAGCCGGAAGTGGCGCTGTGGCTCAAGTGGTAGAGCCTTGAGCTGAAGAGCTGAGGGACAGCGCCCAGGCCGAGTTCAGGCCCCACAACCGGACCAAAAAAAAAAAAAATCCCACAGGGGGGCTGGGAAGGTGGCTCAGTGGTAGAACGCTTGCCTTGCATGCCTGAGGCCCTGGGTTTGATTCCTCAGCACCACAAGCAAAAAGAAAAAAGCCGGAAGTGGCACTCTGGCTCAAGTGGTAGAGTGCTAGCGTGGTAGAGTGCTAGCTTTGAGCTGAGGGACAGCGCCCATGCCCAGGGTTCAGGCCCCACGACGGGACCCAAAAAAAAGAATCTCACAGGAACTTTTCTGCTCGGGCTGGTTTTGAACAATAATCCAGGCAGGAGCCGCCGGCGCCCAGCTAATTTATTTATTTATTCATTTATACGAAACCACCCTTGCATTCCTAGCAGTAATCCTCCTTGATCATGCTTTTGTTACTCCTTTTTGATATTGTTGAATTACATGTGCTCATATTTCCCAAGGACTTGTTGCATCTAAATTCATAAAGGCGCTTTAGTCTAAAAGTATTTTTTTTTTTTTCAGTTCCATGTCTTTGGTTTTGGTATTTGGGAAACGCCGCTTTAGCAAAAGGATGTGGTGCTGCCTCTTCTATATCCAGTTTGTGTGACTGGTAGTTTTTACCAGCAGGACGGTGTCGACACCTTCCCGAGCTGCACACAATTCTCTTGCATCAGGGTTCTTGTACTCAGGCCTGCCCAGGCACCTGCGGCCTGCCCAGCGCGCGGTCTGCCCGGCGCC